CATGACCTGAGCCGAAGGCCAGACGCTTAACGACTGAGCCACCCGGGTGCCCCTTGAAATGGATTAAAGATATAAAACGTAAGACTTGACACTATAAAACTTCTATGAGAAAACATAGGAAAAAGGCTCCGTGATATTGTTCTTGACAATAATATTTTTGGATATGACACTGAAAGCATAGGGGTGCCTGGGTGGCTTCGTCAGTTAAGCATCTGCCTTCAGCTCAGGGCATGATTTCAGGGTCCTGGGATGGAGTCCCGCATCAGGGTCCCTGCTCAGAGAGGAGTCTGCTTTTCCCTCTCCCTCTGCCCCTCCTCCCACCTGTGTTCTGTCTCTCTCTCTCTCTCTCACAAAAAGTAAGTAAAATCTTAAAAGAAAGAAAGCATAAGTTACAAAGGCAAAATCAACAAGTGGGACTACATCAAACTAAAAAGCCTCTTCACAGCAAAAGAAACAATTGACAAAATGAAAAGGCAATCTACAGAATGGGAAAAAAAATTGGCAAACCATATATATGATAAGGTGTTAAAATCCAAAATATATAAGGAATTCATACAACTCAAGAGCAAAAAAGGCCCCCCAAAAAAGCCAAAAACAAAAACAAAAAAACAAACAAAAAGCCAATAACCTGTTTTAAATATGCATAAAGTACCTGAACAGATATTTTTCCAAAGACGACATTCAAATGGCCAATAGGCACATTAAAAGGTGCTCAACATCACTGATCATCAGGGAAATGCAAATCAAAACCACAATGAGATACCTCCTTACACCAGTCAGAATGGCTAAAATCACAGACAAGAGATAACAAGTGTTGGCAAGGATGCAGAGAAAAGGGAACCCTCATGCACTGTTGGCAGGAATGCAAACTGGTTCAGTTACTATGGAAACCTGTACAGGTTTAAAAAAAATAAAAAATAGAACTACCATATGATCCATTAATCGCACATTTGTGTGTATATCTGAAGGAAATGAAATTTCTAACTTGAAGAGAAATCTGCATTGTCATGGTTATTTCAGCTTTATCCACAATATGCAAGACATGGAAACAACCTAAGTGTCCATCAGGGGATGAATGGCATATATATATGGAATGCAATATATATTCCATTCCAATAATATTCCATTATTACATGGCCAGTAGGAAGAAGAAAATCCTGACAATGTGACAACATGGATGGACCTTGAGAACATGAAATAAATCAGGCAGAGAAAGACAAACAATGTATGATCTCACTTATATGTGGAATCTAAAAAGCAACAACAAAAGAGCCATACTCAAAGAGGCTTAGAAACAGCAAGGGGCTGGGGGTGGGGTGGGGGAAAAGGATATTGGTCAAAGGGTCTGAACTTTCAGTTAAAAGATGAATATGTTCTGGAGACTCTAATATAGACCACAAAGACTATAGTCGCAAAACTGTATTATACTGTAAAGATGCTAAGAGAGTAGAGCTTAAATGTTCTTATCACACACATGCACAAAAAGTTAATTATATGGGATGATGGAGGGACTAGTCAACCCCACTGTGGTCATCATTTCACAATATATGTCAAATTATCATGATGTGCATCTTAAACTTACACAATGCTATATTTCAATTATATCTCAATAAACCTGGAAGAAATGAAGACCCATGTAATAGAAAAAAAAAGATTTGGGATTCTAACAAATTCCCAGGGTAGCTGATGATGCTGATCCTAGGATTACACTTTGGGAATTGTTGACCTGGAGATATTAAGTGCTTGCCCAATGGGTTTGTGGCTTCCTACAAGGAAAGTCAGGGCCAACCGTAGGGGCCACCTATCAGTCAGCTCTCTGACTTTTTCTTTGTCTCATTATTGTTATTACTGTTCAAGGACCAGATAATTTTCTAGAATTCCTGTAAATTCTAAATATGTGTAGGATTGTGCTTTTAAGAATTTTACATTCTATAATGGGAATGTTAAGTACTTAATTGCTGAGATCTCACATATATACCCAAACTAAAACAAACAGAAGCAATCACAAATACATGTATCCGAAAACCAAGATGCAGACTTCATAGGAATTAAGAAGATTTATTAACAATTATAATAGTATATCAAAATTATTGGTGCCTAAAGTTAAGCTATGTTATGTGAATCTCAATCTATTTATAAGTAGGTACAAGGAACTAACATATGCCAAGAGTTGTGGGTTCTTCTAGAGTGTTCGGGAAGTCTGCAGGGGGCAAGAAAAGGCAGCCTTGGCCCCTGGAAAGACATATGCACAGTGACTGTGGGACAGGAGAGGGCTAGACATCATTGGGTCACTTGAACTGGACTGGGCTGGCCAGACAGCAGCCTCACAATACGGTTCCATGCGCAGAGAAGCAGTACTATACACTGGGTGTAGAAGAAGAAAAAGTGAATTTTCTCTCAGCATCTCAGTATGGCAATGACCAACCTGAAAGTTTCTGACATGTTTTCTCTTGCTCCATTCTTTCCCATGTTGGAGGGTGGAGATTCAACTATTTGGGCTTGCTTGTCTCCCTAGAATTTCATTTTTATTTTGTGAGTCCAGGACCAAATGAGGAAATTGATCTGCTTTTATTTTTACATGAAGCCCCCAAATCAATTCTCTCCTCATGAAACCTGAGTTTCTTGATTGGGAACTTTCCATGGTGCCTCCCTGAGGCCTTTATACATGGGGGACTGGGCCAACCTCTGGATGAGAGCACTAGTCCCTAATGTCCTAGCTCTGTAAACAAGTTGTTATCTGTTCCCAAGCGCCCAGACTATTCCAAATTCCCAAGGGGACAGGATGTCACATTTGCCTTTTCATCCTCTTAGTATGCACCAATAAAATGACACTTAGGTAAATTCTTAAAGCTCTTAGAAATAGTGTGCTTCCCTTTCTCCCTAGGGGTCACCTGCCATCTCCTTAGCCCTAGGGTACCTGTATCTATGTGTGCGACATACAACATGCTGATTTGAAATGTGGCACTCTGCCACTCCCATCCCCCTTCCCCTTGCCCAGGCCCTGAGCTGCAGAAGAGATGCCCCTCAGGTTGGTCTGGAGAGCTTCAGCCCATCGTCAGCTATGCATCCATGCTGCCCTACCTAAAGATTCATTACCACTTCGATGGGGCAGCCCTTATTTCTGTGCTCAATCCCTCATCAGAGCTTTTGTTAGAATTTCTTCTGGAAGACCCAGAAACTAGATGGGAGCAGAATTAGTTGCCTTCTCCCCAAGAAAACTCCTGGCTGATCTCTGGGATTGAAGTAAGGAGAGCTGACAGAATCTGGGAAAAACAAGGATGAGGACATGGATATAGGAGGTTTGCGGTAGGATGAGCTTCAGTCCTGTATCTCCAGTCCTTTGTATGTGGATCTGTAATTGTCTTGTGTGCTAGTTCTATTAAGGTCTATATCTATTAGGGCACCTGAATGAGGTTTCTCAATCCCACTTTGCACATTAACTCCAGTTTGGAACGGAGTTATTGCATCCAATTCAGAAATGATTGAATGCACCAAATTTGAACAAGTGGATCTATGACAAGTAGAAAAGGAGCGAGTACCTTATACTTGCTTCCCCATTCCTAGCTGGGCCAATCCGAAGCCATCCCCTGATCTTGATGCACACACATCAGATCATCTTTTCTGATTTCCCCAATGAACAGAACACTTCTGTGTCATTCTGTTTTGGCACAGTGACCCATCAAGCATTGCAAGGCTTCCCCAGCAATGCTGAGAATGGTCACAGGATTTTCTCCATAATGATGGATTTTTTGTTAGGCCTTTACTGTTAGGCCTCTGTGCAGATTAGTGGAAGAAGCAATAGGAAATGACCACCTTTAAACAAGTTTAAAATGATAAGAACAGGGGCGGGAGAAAGAGTGGGAACTTTGAACTAACAGGTAGGACTAGCATTATGGGCCTCCCTAACACCGAGATTCTAGGCCTGCCCACCTTGCAGGGTTGCTCTAACCATGGCTTAGAACTGTAGGTGGAGAAACTCTGGGAAACATCTGATCTATTATAAGTGTGGAAAGAATGATGGCTTTTAGGATAGACAAAAAACAGCTCTACTGCTTGGTGTGAAGTCCCACTTAGTGGGCACAGAATATCATTCAGCAGGTTCTCCTCCAAGTGCTGGTGCAGAGTTTGTCAGAGAATCCAGCCCAACGAGTCAATCCAGCTTCATACCTTTAGGCCAAAGCTGTCAAAATTGGTATAGACTTGTAATGTCATGTGCTCACAAAGTGACTACAAGTTTTGGAATAGCACTATCCCTTTTAAGTTTCCATTTCCAGCAGCTCCATTTCATCGTTCAGACTAAGGATATGAGCTAACGCCCGTGAAAAAAACAAGTATGTAATTTATACTTGAAATACCTGTGGGCTGACACAGAGGACAGCCTCTGGATATTGGACATGAGAATGAGCATCAGGTCACCTTGCAATGAAGGAATAGCTTTGAGAAATGTCACCTAGAATAAAGAATAAATATATTATAAAGAAATAAATGTGATGACTTTGCAATTTTGCTGAGTCAGGCCCTCAGTGATGCATGTTGCTAAGCAATTTGTGTTGAGTTTCTCCTTGCCACTCATGGGACTCTCTTGAGCTTGGATGAAAGCCATGACAGGTCTGTGGATACAGACATGCAAGTGATTCTTCCCAGCCAACACCAGCAGAGTGTGTGTGGGATTGTCTCTCTCCGAGTACTCTGTTCACACAGTGAGGTCACGCAGTCTTTGGTTCTTGGCTAGCTGCTTCTCCTCATTCTCCACCCCCTTCTGTGTCTTCATGGAGCTTCACTGGGGGTCCTATGCCTGGAGCAGTAACTGGGGACTTGCAGAACCCAGCTGGGTAGAGTTCATAAATTCTTCACAGTCACGCTAGACAGGTGCTGACAGCAGCCACATAGAGACAGACACACACTGCAGAATATTTCCATATTCTTCTTCCTGCAGCTTCCTCCGTGCAGGATGCACAAAGCCATTTCTTAATGGCTATTGGCATTTTCCATCCCCACAGCTGATACGAGCCTGGTGGACTCTAGTGCTATAAGGCTGAACCCCAGCAAAGCGCTTGCCATGAGCTATGGGAAACATGTAGAGCTGAGAATATTCAGGAACTGTGCTGATGCCACCAGTCCTGTAGAGCCCTGAGGTCTGGGTGGGGGTGTGACAGGATCTAGCCTACTTTCCAGCGTGCACCAGGAGAAGCCAAGGCATGGAGAGAGGAGCTGCATATCAGGACACACATGTGTAGATGTGCCTTTTACAGAGGCAGAGTACAGTCTATCATCTCAACTCTTTCTGATAGTGAGTGTCAAATGGTATTGCATTTAATCTCAATAAAATTATGTGTTGTTAAGGAATTGTGTGACATGCATATTTGTGAACTCCCTGGATGCCATCCATGAGTTTGGTTCTTTGTGTCTATGCAAGTACTACTTTCTCTTCTAGAAACATATTTTCTAGAACAATCTGCCACAGGTAAAATTCTTACTTGTTATTTGGAAAACAACCAAAAAAAAAAAAAAAAAACACACCCTCTCAGGTACAACAGTGTCCCTGAACCTAAACTCTTCTATAGGGGCTTCTCTGATCAATTGGGAATAATTTGAAGCACATTCACCTTTTTAACAAATCTTTTAGAGAACTTTTACTTCCTCCTTTCTTTCTTATTATTTACAATCATTCACCAAGGAGGGTAACTTCTCAGTTAGCCTCCTCTTCCTTCCAGGAGAATCAGACACACTACTTTGCCTACAATAGGTATCAATAAGTGTATGCTAGGAAAGTGTGGAAGAGCAGATGACTCTCCTAACTTCATGGACCCACACATGGAAACTGGAGAGTGCTGGGCAGCATCTTCATTTGCTGTCTTATCCAATACTTGCTTGTGTGTTTCCATGACAGCTGGTGAAGACTACGGGAAACCACAATAACAACTACCAACAAGCATTCATCTTGCTGGGCTTTTCTGATCACCCTCGACTGGAGATAATTCTCTTTGCTTTTGTCTTGGTCTTCTACATCCTGACCCTTGTGGGCAACACTGCCATCATCTTGTTGTCAATCATGGATGCCAGGCTCCACACACCAATGTACTTCTTTCTTGGGAAACTTTCTTTCTTGGACCTCTGCTTTACGACCAGCATTGTCCCCCAGCTGCTGTGGAACCTTTGGGGTCCAGAGAAGACCATCTCCTACCATGGCTGTGTGGCCCAGCTCTATATCTACATGGTGTTGGGCTCAACTGAGTGTGTTCTCCTGGCTGTCATGTCGTATGATCGCTACATGGCCGTCTGCCAGCCGCTGCACTACACTGTGGTCATGCACCCACGTCTCTGACTGCAGCTGGTGACTGTGTCCTGGTTCTGTGGCTTTCTAAACTCATTTGTCATGTGTCCCCAGATAATGCAAGTCTCCCGATGTGGGTGCAACACAGTGGACCATTTTCTGTGTGAGATGCCTGCTCTTATTGCCATGTCCTGTGAAGACACCATGTTTGTGGAAGCATTTGCCTTTGCCCTGGGTGTCGCCCTTCTCCTGGTGCCCCTCTGCCTGATCCTCATCTCCTATGGCATGATTGCTGCTGCTGTGCTGAGGATCAAGTCAGCCACTGGGTGCCAGAAAGCATTCAATACCTGCTCTTCCCACCTAACCGTGGTCTCCCTTTTCTACGGGACCATCATCTACATGTACCTGCAGCCAGCCAATAGCTATTCCCAAGACCAAGGCAAGTTCCTCACCTTCTCCTACACCATTGTCACTCCCAGTATCAACCCCTTGATCTACACTCTGAGGAACAAGGATGTAAAGGAGGTGATAAAGAGGCTCCTGAGGGGAGAGAAGGGGGCCAGGGAAGCCTGAGGGAGAGGAATGCTGGGGTAATGGAGGATGTTCTGGAGTCTCTCTCTTTGATATGTATGTGACAATGTGGAGAGCAAATTTCAGAGTAGAGGGAACACAGCTGGGCATGACGATTTTGAGTGTGACCTCATCCCCAGCTCTCTGGATGTGAAGTAGTTTTCTTCAGTTTAAAGGCATCTATTTTAGGAAATCTCTCCTATACTTGCCTTTTATCCATCTTTGGGCTTCATCCACAACTGCAGGGGACCAGGAGTACTAATTCAAAGCACACAGTCTGCAGATTAAGTCATGAGATGTCAAATAAAAATGAGACAACACCAGCAGCCTCCTCTTGGAGCTCCTTTATTCATGACTATGGTGGTTTTTCAGAGATGGGCAAAACAATATCAGTCAAATTATAGGACTCTGCCTGGATGTAGGTTGTTTCTTCTTAAGTGAGGAGTTTCCTATTTTTGTTTTTTGTTATTTGGCTTTTTAAATTTTTATTTTAGTTCCAGTTAGTTAACATATGGTGTAATATTAGTTTCTGTGTGCAATATAGTGATTCAACAATTCCATACAACACCCGATGCTCAGCACAAATGCATTCCGCATCCCTTATTTAACTTGTTCCCCCCACCTACCCTCCAGTAACCATCACTGTGTTCTCTATAGTCAAGAGTCTTGATTTGCTGCCCCCTCTCTCTGTCACTTTTATCCTTTCTTTTTCTCCTTTTGCTCATTTGCTTTCTTTCTCTCTAAGGGTTTTATTCATTTATTTGAGGGAGAGAGACAGCACGAGAAGGAAGAGGGGTAGAGGGAGAAGGAGAAGCAAACTCCCTGCTGAGTGGGGAGCCAGATACCTCTTGTGATTTTAGCTTCCATGCATTTAAATTTTGAACTCTTTAGTAGCCATATGTGGCCTTTCTTTATGATTAAAAAAGAACATTTAGGGGCGCTTGGGTGGCTCAGTTGGGTAAGCCTCTGACTCGTGATTTTGGCTCAGGTCATGATGTCAGAGCCCTGCATTGGGCTCCACACTCAGTGGGGAATGTGTTTGAGATTCTCTCCCTCTGCCCCTATCTGCCCCTACCCCCACTCATGCTCACTCTCTCTCTCTAAAGTAAATAAATAAATCTTTAAAAAAAAAAGAACATTTAAGTTTCCATTTTAAGCTCAAGAAATCACCCAGGTAGCATCATCTTGGAAATAAAAGATGGAAGAAATTTTGTTTATTGTCCCAAATGCCGGTCCTTTTATCTTTATTCTCTTTGTTGAGGCTCTGTGACATGAAAATCACTAGCAAAGCATCCACACACATGAAATGAGTTTATTTCCTGTTGTACTTTTCATCCCCATGATTTATTTATTTTATAACCGGAGGTTTGTACCTCCTAATCCCCTTGACTTATTTCACCCATTCCCCCCACCAACCTCCCCTCTAGCAACCACCAGTTTGTTCTCTGTATTTATGAATCTGCTTCTGTTTTGTTTGTTCATTTGTTTTGATTTTTAGATTCCACTTACAAATGCAATCCTATGATATTTTCCTTTCTCTGTCTGACCTGCTTTTAATAAAAACAAAAAAGATTCAAACAACCTTCTCTACTTAGAGCTTGAATAGTAAGATCAACTCTTGCCCACTATGATTCTCCCTTATTCTTTTTGACACATTAATATTTTCTTTAGTTATTCAAATCCTCTCAGTCAAGTTAAGAAAATATTCCTTTGGCAGTTGTTCCTCTATAATGATTTTTTAAAATTTAATTTAATTGTATTATGTTATGTTAGTCACCAAACAGTACATCATTAGTTTTTGATGTGGTGATCCATGATTCATTGTTTTCGTATAACACCCAGTGCTCCATGCAGAACGTGCCCTACTTAATACCCACCACCGGGCTAACCCATCCCCCCACCCCCCTCCCCTCTAAAACCCCGTTTGTTTCTCAGAGTCCACAGTCTCTCATGGTTCATCTCTCCCTCCGATTCCCCCCCCTCATATTTCCCTTCCTTCTCCTAATGTCCTCCATGTTATTCCTGATGTTCCACAAATAAGTGAAACCATACGATAATTGACTTTCTCGGTTGACTTATTTCACTTAGCATAATCTCCTCCAGTCCCATCCATGTGGATGTAAAAGTTGGGTATTCATCCTTTCTGATGGCTGAGTAATATTCCATTGTATATACGGACCACATCTTCTTTATCCATTCATCTGTTGAAGGGCATCTCGGCTCTTTCCACAGCTTGGCTATTGCAGACATTGCTGCTATGAACATTGGGGTGCATATGGCCCTTCTTTTCACTACATCTGTGTCTTCGGGATAAATACCCAGGAGTGCAATTGCTGGGTCATAGGGTAGCTCTATTTTTAATTTTCTGAGACACCTCCACCATGAAAGACTATAGACTCTGAAAAATAAACTGAGGGTTTTAGAGGGGAGGGGGTGGGGAGATGGGTTAGCCCGGTGTTGGGTATTAAGGAGGGCACGTACTGCACGGAGCACTGGGTGTTATATGCAAACAATGAATCGTGGAACACTACCTCAAAAACTAATGATGTAATGTATGGTGATTAACATAACATAATAAAATGAAAGCAAAGAAAAAACGGGCAGAAGACATGAACAGACACTTCTCAAAAGAAGACACACAAATGGCTAACAGACACATGAAACAATGTTCATCATCATTAGCTTCTATAATGATTTTTAATTCTTATGTATTTATTTTTGTTTGTTTATTATTTATTTATTTATTTATTTATTTTTGAGAGAGCGCCTGAGAGAGTTGGGGGAGGGGCAAAGGGAGAGGGAGATAGAGAATCCCAAGCAGGCCCCATGTCCAGCATGGACCTCAACACTGAGATCATGACCTGAGCCAAAATCAAGAGTTGGACACTTAACTGACTGGGCCATCCAGGAACCCCACTCTATGATGATTATTTTTACCCTTCTCCTTACTTATTCTTTCATATTTCAATGTTTACAAGATAGTAACAAGTGGAATTTATTGAACATTGTCAATGGCACTATGCTAAGCCCTTTCCCTATTTTATCTGAGCTAATATTTATAATAACTCTGAGAAGTAAAACACTATTAATATTCTCTAGATAAGAAATCTGAGTCTAAGAGGGTTTAGTATAAGAGGCTTGATTTGGGGTTGAATTCCTGTTTCCTGGATTGGCACTGATATTGTCAAATGATTCTCAGTCAGATCCCAATGGCTCAAGACCAAGAGCACGAGATATGAGAAGGATAGAAGTAGGTTGGTGAGGGAAAACACTCCATTAATACAACCCTCCATGTCTTAACCTTTCAGACTGAAATAACCAGACAGCTTTATCTTATTTATCTTTGCTAAAGTCACTCCATTAAAGACACTTACAGCCAACTCCTGTGCAGCAAAGCCAGGGGAAACTGGATGATGCCCCAATGATGGCCTGGAGGCTAAGACCCAGTGCTGCTGCTTGAGGCTGCACTGTGCTCTCCTGGGCATAAGGGCCTGGGCCAGGGTGCCAGAGGAAAGGGGAGAGGGTTTGGGGAGTAAGAGAGTGGGCCAGTGTGCTGTCCTCACTCATCCTGCCTTTGCCTTCATCTTTGGCAAAAAATTTTACCCGGCCTGACATAGGTTTGTTGCCTTCACAACTCCTTTCCCGATTATGCAAAACCCATATGAATTTTGTCCTGAAGACCTATCAATAAGAATCCCTGGAAATTTGTCTCTAATATTTAATTTTTAAAAACAAAAGCTTTGTTGGTGTTTCTCATGTAGGTAGGTAATCAAACTTGAGATTCCATTACCAATACTAAGCCATCACCACAGCTTATAACTTTGGCAAATTTGAAAATTCCTCAATAAGCTTTTCAGCACTGACAACATCTGGGTCTTTCTTCTCAAATCAAAGACATTTAATCAATGCCTACTAGCTTGAACCATATTTTTACTGAAGCCACTATTCTTCCTGCAATTGTGGGATCCTCTCATAAGAAAATATGAATCTTTTACATCTCTAAGTGTAGCTACCTGCCCTCTTGATATGAATTTGCTTCGGGACGGTGAAGAAAATAAATTCCAAATATACACTGCTCTCACTGAGCACAGGGCTGATGGATTTGACCTTCTGTCACCCTTAGAAGAAGAAAAACATTAGATTCCAGGAGGATTTGCATATGGAACAGACTCTTAGTCACATGTAGATCTGCAAAGATCAACTTGCATACTATTTAAAATACTTAGAAATTTAAATGAATTATAGTGTCTTTGCAGGTAAGAGCAAAGTATTTTTCTACTATTTCTCCCAAAAGGATGCTTGGCACAGTGATAAATACATAACAAATCCTTTGTAAAATATGTTGATTTATAACAAGAGTAAAGAATGGTATATAAAGCACAAGCTACCTTTATTAGAGCCTACCATTTTATAATTTGAAATTACTGTTCATTGCAAATATTTGTGATACTATATCTGATAAACCAAAACTCTGGTCTTGAGAAGATAATTGGGAGTATTAATAGTGATTAATAATCATTCATTTATTTAGTCATTTGGCATTTTGTCCACCTTTTCTTATTTAGCTGAGGATCTATGACATGCCGCACATGGTGCTGGGACCACGGAGCTACAAATATGAAACGCAAAGAAAAGGACAGTGCAGTCTGACATTGATAATGTGCTATGGGGTGAATGTGGGTGGCCACTTCACTTGATTTTTGAAGTTTGGTTTTCTGCAGAAGATGATGGCTGTTCGGTGTTTGAAAGATGAATAAGTTAGAAAGTAAAAGAGTGGAAAGAAGGTGCTGTCGTAAAGAACAAAAAGTATGTGCTAAAGCAAGGACAGGATGGAACCTGTCCTGAGCTCAGCAGTTTGAGGTATTTGGATACAAGATCCCTAAGGGGCAAAGGTTGTGGGTAAATATGCAGGTGTGTACAAGAGCCAGGGCTTTACACACTCTCAAGTAATACTCAGTTGGGGAACTTGGATTTTATTTTTCTTACAATGGAAAGGAAATTAG